GCAGCCAAGAAGGGTTGGGTTTTGTTGGGTTTTTATGTGCTGCTCTCAATAAAGAAGGCGCTTTTTTTTTTGGTTTTTTTTTTGGTCTTTGTAAAACACTGCTGTCAGATAGCGGTTTTCCTCCACATGGCTCCTGGGAAGGGCTGGGGGCCGGTTCCTCRGGCATCTGTCTGCTGTTTAACCCCTCTGCCCCCTTCTCAGGTGAACTGAGATGCTGTTCCCACTTTTGTGTGCCCAGAGGGAGCACTCAGCCTCAGCATTTACTGTCTCTCTGGGCAGCTTTGGGTTGCTCTCCAAGAGGGACTTGTCTCAAGAGAAAATGTCCCTGTCAGACTCCATAATAACAACCACTCATGGCTGATGGTTGTAATTGGGTTTGTGCACCCACCTCTTTGGGTGTCAGGAGAAATCCTTCCCCTGGAGGGTAATAAAGCTCTGAGTCCCATAGAAGCTGTGACATCTCCATCATCATCATCATCATCAGAGATGCTCAGTGCTGGACCAGTCCTGAACTACTGAGTGTGCTTGGTTCTGCTTTAGTTAGGGATGGACCAGAAATGTCCAGATCCCCTTCCCACCTCTGCTCCCCAAAGAGGCTGTGGAGATGYTGGAGGGGTAAAAAAGTTAATTCTTGAAAGATGTCAGCTGGCTCTGAGCTCAGATTTGGTCCAGGCTTGGAAAATGGGTACAAGTGAGTTTGCTGGCAGTTGCTCCGTGAGTTAGCCAAAGGATTTGTCCCTTTTCCAGCACTTACGTCTCACCTGGGAGCTGTGAACTCTCCTCRCTTCAAGGTCTCTAGGCAAGCTCAGCTGTGGCAGTGGCTGGGTGTCAGCCCCTCTCCAGAGGGGGGATATCTCTTGATATCCTTTTGTTCCACTTCTCCCATCCATTCCATTCCCTGTGTGCTGTCCTTCCTTTCAGGCAGGAATGCTGYGCTCTGTGGGCTGATTCCTGCAGCTGAGCCACTTGTGGTGGTGTTGCCAAGCAGAATCTCAGTGATGCCATGGCTRGAGACCAGAGATGCCAAGGATTTTGGGGGTAAAATCCTTGTTCTGCCAGCTCTGTGCATACAGCATCTTGCATGTATGGAGGGTATGGCCTGGCTGCAGTGAGCAGCACCAGGATTTGGGTGCTCTGCTTTATCCCAACACATCCTGGAGATCCCAATGCCTGTTTTCCGTGCAGTCAAGACCTGGTGACCACAGGGCAGTGCCCAAATGGAGAGTCACCAAAGCTGGAGCAAGCTCCAGACCCAGAGAGTGCAGAAAGAGCAGCCCATGCTGTTAAATGGGAGTTGGGGTTGTGTATTTTTGGGAGTGATGTCACGAGAAAGTTCTGTATCCTTGGGGATGGGACAGATGTTGGTCAAAGTAATTGGAAACAGCGAGCTGAGGAAATACAGTCCCAATTAAATGTGRTGGAGCAGAGCAGGGAATCAGAGCCTCAGCAGGAGAATGAGAGGACTTGGGCAGCTGACAGAGATGGGATTGAATTGCCTCCAAGTGAAGCCCAGAGTGAAGGAGCACTTCCAGAAGACAATGTGTGGTATCCATGGCCAGAAAGAGCAAAGCAAAGGTCCACCTAGTGACCCACCAGCTGTGGCCAAAACAGAACATTTACGGAACAGGGCAAGAGAACAGCAAGCAGATGTGTGTTAGTCCCAATCACCAACTCTCTAAAGTATAAAGACSTCCAAACCAGGCATTTCCAAAATGTTTTCTGAAAACATTGATGCTTTCTCTTGCCATAAAGTTACTGGAATTCCCCCTGCAGCTCTGCATCCTTTGAGCACCTCTGCTCCCTGAGTGCACAGATCTGCTGTGCAGCCTGAGGAAGGGATTTTTGCTTTGCTCCAATTTCCTCTGCAGCTGTGTCAGGCATTGGGGTGGAAACTAATGGGCCTTAATTGTCCTAAGCAGCCTCCCCTGGGACTTCCCCACACTCTTGAGCTGCATTTAAGCTCAAACCTGTGCTTGCAGGTTTGGTTGGTTTGTAGGTGTTCCTGTTGTAGCCTTGCCTCTAACTCTGTCATGTAGCCTTATTATCCAGGCGTGATTTTGGAACTATCCAAGTGGATTCTGGATTTTGTCCATGGCTTGCTCTGATACCAACACCTGTCTCAGGTAAAGTGGGTTTTTACCTGCTCATGAGGCCGTGGGGTCACCCCTCAGGGTGCAGCCCCACTTAAGAAAGGCCATAACCTAGTTTTACACGTGCAGAAGTACCTCTATTCTAGTTATTACTGCTTGTAAAAGAGACCTGGCTGCTTAAAAAAAAAAAAAAAAAAAAAAAAAAACACAAAAAAAAAACCAACAACAACCGAAAAACCAGCAGAAAAAAACAGCTGGAGTATCAATAGTAGGAAGACAGGAACAGGACAGAAACTGTAGCTGAAATATGGATGAAGAGCTGGGAAAGTATGAAGAAAGGCTTGTTGCAATGGCCTAGAGGAGGATTGGAAAGGGGATTTGAAGGGATGGGGCAGCTGGCAGCAGGATCCATGCTCCATTGAGCTGCCAGACAGCTTTGGAGGGAACTTTGGGGGCAGAGTGTCAAGTGTTGTGCCCTAAATGTGTAAAAACAGGGCTAGAATGGGAATTCTCTGATGTGGRGGTTGTAAATGAGAACAGCCCCGAAGATGAAATAAGAGGCTGAAAAGCTGCTTTAAGCTGCTTTCAGTTGTCGGTGGCTGCTGGTTTGGTTAAGGAAGGGCCTGCTGGTGGCTTGGGGACAGGACAGGTGWGGATCTGAGTGCCTTGGGGAGACACTGGCATCCCAGGGGCAGGCTGGAACACCTTGGAAAGCATCCCTGGGATGAAGCAGGGGGGAAGGAAAGGATTGCAGCAGAGGGGATGAGTGAGCCCAGCTCTCACCTCTTGCCCGTGTAGTCACTCTTGCAGCTCGGGGAGCAAAAAGGCCTCCACGTGGCCTTATTTTTGGAAGGCTCAGGGAAGAGGAGGAAGGGAGYGTGGAGGTGTCCTGTGAGCAAGAGAAAATCAAATCCTGGTTCCTCCAGGCACGCAGAGGGTCTCACTGACCCTTTCCCAGCCCGGCAGGATGCGGTGAGGCCTCGGTCTCACCTGTGCCAGGTGTAGTTTGTGCYCAGCTTGAAGGGAGGGTGGCCAGGGCATGTGATGGGAGGCATGTGAGCTCCGGCAGCCCTGCTGGGAGCTAAAAATGGCATGTGTGCTCACTGGAGGAGCATGGCTGGCGGGAGGAGGGGGAGGCGGTGGTGGCAGCGAGGGGGTGTTTGGGTTTGCTGTTACTCCCCTGCTCTGTAGGAGGTTGGCCCTGGGCTGTGGGGGACAGCTGTGAGGGCTGATGGCGAGCGTGTGTGTCCTCTGAGCGATGAGGCAGATATGGAAAGGGCTTGTGCGAGCTGCAGAACGCTCCACAGGGTGCCCAGGAGACAAAAGGGGTCTGGGGCAGGGCTGCYGCTGTCTGAGGTGARGTCTTGCTCCGGGTTGGAGTTCCCGTGTGTAGGACGGGGTGTGGGAGAGCCCTTTTCTCAACTAAGGATTCTGTGTCCTCACAGCTTCGAGCTCTGSGGCTGTGCTGTCCCTGCAGCACCTTTGTTGCCCCATGTGCACAATTGTCCTGACTCTGGGCTGTCCATCTGCTGTGGAAATCCCGGGTCATACCTGCACAGAGGATGTGACCTGTGCSGAGAGCTTGGAACCCTCTGAGGTTGGTGTGAGGAGGGCTCTGTGCTGGCCTGACCAGCCACTTCCCATCTGTCCAGGAACTGAGTCCCACCCGTGGCTGGCCATGGAACCAAACCCTCTGCGGGTGTGAAGGTACCTGCGGCCCGTCCTATTAAATGGGAACTCTTTTTTTTTCTTCTGGGCAGTGACCAGCCCGTGCTGATCAGCCTGTGCCAAAACAGACACGCGTGTTTTGGACATATCTGCTCAGTCCTGTGCCCCGCACACCCCCGAGCACCCACGTGGCCGCCAGACCCTCTCGGTGCCTCTGCAGCCACCAGAGACAATCGGACGGCACGCTGTCCCTTGCAGGCTGTGACAACAGCCGGTGCCATCGCTGCGAGTCCGGCGGGCGGCGCGGAGCCCCTCCCGGCCGCGTCCTGAGGATGGCGAGGCACGGAATCTTYGAGCCACGTGGTGCGTCCCCTACGAGGACCCGCGTGGCTGGAGCTGGCGGTGGGCAGGAGGCCCGAGGGCAGGGCGGGCTGCGGGGCTATCCCAGCCCTCATTGCCAGCCCCCGGTTCCCCGCAGCCCCCGGGCTGTGCGTGTTTAACCCTGGCCGGCCGCGCTGTCCCTTTAAGAGCCGCCGTGCGTGTTTCAACCCGGGCGTGACGCGAGCGCGGTCCGACCGTATGCAAATCAAACGCCAAGCGGCGGCCAATGAGCGCCGGCGCTCGGCGGCCGCCGGCCAATGGGATAGCKGCTCCCGACGGGGCGCCGTCTCGCCCCATATAAGGAGCGCCTTCGCCATAAAAGGCAACATTGTATCGCTTTATATGGGGGCGGCGCGGCGCGGCGGGGGCGGCGGCGGAGCGGGGCCGTGAGCGCGGAGCGCGGCGGGG